GAGGAGGAGGGTGCCTCCCTCTGTAGGAGGAGGGGGCCTGGAGGAGGAGGGGGCCGGCCTGGAGGCCTCCTGCGTGGGCGGAGGTTATGGGGCCCAGGGCGGGGGGCTGGGCAAACCTGAGGACCGTGAGTTCCAAGCCTGTGAGGAGGGCGGCCTTGTTGGTATTTTGGGGCCCAGCTGCAGGAAGAGCAGCTGTGGCTGCACTAAGCCTGCCTCGACCTAGGCCGGGCTGTCTGTCACCTCGCGGGGTGCAGCGGGGGCACTGGCTCTTTTCTTCAATTCCCTGCCATTGGCCCCTGGGCTCTTCGGGAGGGACCTGTTAGACTGGAGAGAGCCGAGGCCGCCCCACAGGCCGGCACTGGGGGCAGCAAGAGTGAGGGGTCGTCATGAGGGAGCCTGATCACCCAGGGAGAGGCGGCGTATGGGGGTACGGACTCGGCCTGTGTTCACACTTTCCCTTCTGGCTGTGGCCTTGAACTAGTCCTTCGCCCGGGGCCTCAGCATCCTGGGCTTTCGGTGGAGACCTCGGGCTTCTGATGGTTGCACCAACCTGCCCTGGGCCCCATAACCTCCGCCCACGCACCCCTGTCCCCGAGACACACCAACCGGTGCCTGTCACACCCCCTGTCCACGAGGCCCAGCCCTGTCCTCCCCACGCCCGGCTGGCCTGGAGGGACCGTGTGAGGGAGACCAGCAGTGGAAGCTCTCGTTTTCGTTCTCCCATCTGTTCGGGGAGCAGCTGAGCCCTGGTGCCTGTGCAGAGGGATGGAGAGCAGTGGGGCCAGGATGGACAGAAGGTGGGCCGCAGGGCGTGTGCACAACACACGTGTGTGCAGGGCACGCGTGTCCCTGGCCACTGCACCACCACTCACACATGCTTTGGCACAGGATTCTCTAGGTCCCAGTCCCGGAAGAGGTGGTATTTGAGTTGTTCCTACAGGGATGAGTGTGTGGGCGGAGGTGGGGGTCTCCTGGGGGAGTGTGTGGGAGGAAACGGAAGGAGGGGCTTTCTCTGTCCGAGGGGAGCCTGCGGGTTCCCGGAGAGGCGGTGGCAGGGCTGGTTCCGACCGAGCATTTGGGAGGCGCTGTGGATGCCGAGGGGAGCAGTGAGGGCTGCGTGCGGGTCTTCCTAGGGGACCCAGGGCCTGCACGGGGGGCCGTGGGGTGAGAGCAGAGGAAACGACCTCCCCGGGGTTCCCACGAGGCCTGAGCCCCGCTGAGGGCAGGTCACAAAACAAACTGGTGAGCCCCTCCCTTCTCCCCGTGGGGTGGTGCTCAGGAGGGTCCCAGATCAAACTGAAGGGGCTGAGTTAGGCCTCTGGGCTGGGGGTTCAGGCCACTTGCAGAGCAGGCCAGGGAGGCAGTGGGGTGTAGGGGGTCAACCCCCTCCCATGAAGGTGACAGGGCGTGCCCCATGGGCAAGGTGCTCTTCAGACCCCGGGCTGGTGCAGCGGTCCTGAAGGGGTGCCCCTGGGCGAGGAGATGTGCCAGCAGCAGGTGAGCGGCTGCGTGCTGAGTGTGCCCACAGCCCGGCCGGGCTGGGGCGGGGGTCTGGGAAGGCAGCTGTGCCTGCACCTGGGAGGACCCGGCGCCCCTGGGCTCGATGAGGCCCCTTGGCGGGTCTGACAGATGCTCAGCTGCTGCAGCTGCAGAGGAGGGAAGAGCTCCCCTGAGTCTGACCCCTGGCCTTCCCACTGTCCCTGGCTCGCCGCACTGCATGCTGGGAGGTGTAGTTCTCACAGCGTCCAGCCTAATCTGGTGCCCGAGCACTTCCTGCCTGTCTGTGCTGGTTTGGGAAGCGAGTCCAAACATTCCTGTTGGCCACAGGCCCCTCCAGATCCTAGATCCAGACGGCCAGCCCCAGCCCTCCCCTCTGCTCACCCACCGAAGCCCCCGCAGCTCCATCAGGGCCCAGGGCCCCGAGGGACGCAGAGGCCCGTGCCCCAGGGGCAGCGCAGCCAGTCAGGAACGGGCGCGCTGCCCCTTTGTAAGAGGATTTGAGGGCTGCAGCTGGATCCCGCCCGCCAGCAAGCACAGCAACCCCGCTGAGCCCTCCCTCCCCTCCCGCTGCAGCGATGGGGCTGTGTGTGCTGCTGGCGGGGGACAGCTGGAGGGACAGTGTGCGGGCGGGTCTCCACGGCAGGCAGCCCGCGCAGCTGCATGCGTCCCTGTAGCGACTGCTCTCTGGCTCCCCGCGTAGCATCTTCCCCCCCAGGTCTGTGGGGCTAGAGTCGTCTTCAGCCATTCTTCTTCCTCTGCACAGGCCTGGACCTAACACAGCCAACACAACCAGGGTTCCCCTGGTCCAGAAAGCTCCCCGGGGCCCTGGCCAGTGTGGCTCAGTGGATAGAGCCTCAGCCTGCAGACCGAAGGGTCCCGGGTTCGATTCCAGTCAAGGGCATGTACCTTGGTTGCAGGCTCCTCCCCAGCCCCAGGTCAGGGTGCCTGTGGGAGGCAACCAATCGATGTGTCTCTCACAATGGTGTGTCTCTCCCTTTCTCCCACTCTCTAAAACTCATCTCCAAGAGTGCAAGTCCTGTCCCCTGTGGACACGAGCAAAGTAGGTGCTGAGCACACACTTGCTGAGCAGGTGGCCAGACGGATGGATGAGTGGATGGGTGACAGGTGGAGCAGGTGAAGAGAGGAGAGAGCATCCAGCCTGGGTGGGAACTGGAGCAGCCACAGGAGGGGAAGGTCACAGACAGGGGAAGGTCAGTCAAGGGGAAGGTCACAGACAGGGGGAGGTCACGGACAGGGGAAGGTCACAGGAGGGGAAGGTCACGGACAGGGGAAGGTCACAGGAGGGGAAGGTCACAGACAGGGGAAGGTCACGGACAGGGGAAGGTCACAGGAGGGGAAGGTCACAGGAAGGGAAGGTCACAGGAGGGGAAGGTCACAGACAGGGGAAGGTCACAGGAGGGGAAGGTCACAGACAGGGGGAGGTCACAGGAAGGGAAGGTCACAGGCAGTGCAGGTTCCGGAAGAGGCTGCTGCCTCTCGGTGCCCCTCGGGGGGAGCATGTGTGAGACCAGAAGAACCTTGAGGCTCCAGAGATACTGCTCTGGACATGGACAGTGAGGACAGATATTCAGTGAATAATCATTGGGCAGCCCAGCCGGTGTGGCTCAGTGGTTGAATGTTGACCTCTGAAGCAGGAGGTTAGGGTTCATTCCCAGTCAGGGCACAGGCCTGGGTTGCAGGCTCCATCCCCAGCGTGGGGCAAGCAGGAGGCAGCTGGTCCATGATTCCCTCTCATCATTGATGTTTCTCTCTCTCTCTCTCTCTCTCCCTCCCTTCCTCTCTGAAATCAATTTTTAAAAAAAACAAACTAGATTTAAAAATAAAAACCACTGGGCGGCCATGTGGGCACCTGCACGGAGGACACAATGGGGGCGGGAGCTCTGCCGACTCCGCCTGTGGACACCCCCCACCCCTCCTCCGTGGGTGGCCCTTCCAGCCTGAGCCCTTGGAAGGACTTTTCCATCCTGGAATCTGCCCTGTGCCCTGCTGCCCACAGCGCCGCACACGCAGAGGGCGCCCGCCTCAGAGAAGGGAGGCTGGATCAGAGCGTGAGCTGGCAGAGACCTGCCCGAAGGCCAGGACAGAGGCCCAAGCCCACCCTCCACCTGCAGAAGGGAGGGATGCCCAGGGCCCCAGCCTCCAGGTGTGCCTGGACCTGCTCTGCGCCTCCACCCGGGCTGGCCGTGGTCTCCGGTGCCACCCTGTGGTGGTGCTGGAAACTGCCCCTCGGCCTCTGGCCCGGCCCACTGGCCAGGAACGTCACCTGCCAGCCTCTTCCTTTCTCCTCTCCGCCTTTCCTGCCTCTCGCTTCCCCTCTGCCCTCAGTGTGACCGTGTCATCCACACACATTAGCATGGCACACGCTCGCCATGGCACAGGGTGTGTGCCCAGGTGCCCTCTGTCCCCTGTAGTACCAAGTCCCATGCTCGCACGCCCGTTCCTACACATCCTGGCTACCCTACCCTACCCCGCCCCCCCCGCCGCCCCCTGTGCCTGCAGGGCCGGGCCACAGCCCAGAGCCACAGCCCTCGTTTCTGGCACTTGCTGGGCATCTACGGGCCGGCCCCCGGAGCTGGTCCTCCTCCTCATGCTCCAGGGGCAGGTGAAGTCAGGGGTCTGGTGACCGCAGGTGTGGGCAGAGGCAGTGGTGACATTGGCAAGGGCTGGGCATGCAGGAGCCCTGGCTGCGTCATGGCCGGTGGCTGTGGGCAGGTCACTGAGCCTCTGGGCTCTCCCTGTGTTCACGGGCAGTGACAGCAGCCTGCTCCACGGGGAGACGCGGCCGTGATGCATCGGTGGGCACGGGGTCAGGGTGGGCCGGCACCACAGCCAAGGAGGTGGGCACAGAGGCCCTGGGGCCACGCAGCTGCCTCTGCCTCCCTTCGCCCTGCAGTCTTGGGGTGGGGCGGGCGCTGGAGTTGTCTGTCCCTGGGCCTTGGGCCCACTCCCTGGCCGGCCTCCCCCTTCCCTGCCGTCGAGCGGACACTGACCACCCCCCGTCTCTTCCTCCCCCAGAATTCCCCTACACCCCATCGCCTTCGGAGCATGGGCGGCGGGCCGGGCCGGTGCCCACGGCGCAATGGCTACAGCAAGGCGGGCGTCCCCCAGCACCACCCACCGCTGGGCCAGAGCCTGCAGTACCCCGACGACTCGGACGACGAGAAGAAGGAAG